GAACTGAGGTAGAGCTGAGCGAGGCGGTAGTACTCAGCGAAGAGGGCGTCTTCATCAGGGGGAAGCTGCTGCAGTGGAGTGTGGACCTCAGGGGAGAGGATGCTATCGGGGCTAGGGTTAGGGTTAGGGTTTGGTGAGGAATCAATTGGGCCGATCTGGATCGAGAGGTCGTTCTGCTCGAGCTTGGGCTCGATCTTGGGGACGATTAAACCGTAGGGGACGATGTTGAGGTCGAGGGAAGGAGACGGCGACGGATCCATGGGAGGGGAGAGAGAAGAGTTTGTCCCTTTTGGGAAGGATTTTTCAAAGGTTTAGGAGAGAGAAAGAGAGGGGGCGAAGATTGTGAGCATGGTGGTCTTTTCGAAGAGGGAGGTAAATTTTGGGAGGAAGGGAAGGGAAAAAGAAAAAAAAAATTGCGAGGGAGGAGTTTTCGGAGAGGGGTATTTTCGGAATGGTCGCACGCGTACGAAGGTGACGATAGCTTTTGGACGAAAATGCCCCCGCGCGAGCGGCCTCTACCGTTGATGGGGGAGCGTGTGCCCTGATTCCTGTTCGAAAGCCTGCAGCGAGAATTCAGAAAGATATTTCGCGGCTGCTGGGCCGTTGACATGTGCGTATGAGTAACTAAAAAAACTGCCGGTTATTTCCTTCAATCAACTTCATACTAACTTTGTTCCGCATGGTAAAATTCAGATGGAAAATGAAATGCTTGTTTCCATGTTCTACTCAATTTTATATTTTATTTTAAGTTGAATATTATTTGATATCTACTCAAGGCGTATATTGCATGAGCTAATTACCGCAAGTCACCTGCGTAGGGAACCTTGTTTTTATGATACGCGTCGCCGTGTGGTCTTTATTGAAGGGTATTTTGGCCATTTTACATATTAAAGGGTGCATTGTATTCCATCATTGTCCTTTCTTTGTGTGGGCCCAGATTGCATAGAAAAATAAGCAGAGTTAGGTGGAGCATTGCTTTTGGGAAAAAGAATCCTATAGAGGATGCTCTATAAAAAATCATATAGAAAGATAATAAAATTTGACACGTAGCCGCGCACAGAAATAAAAAAATAATTATTAATTTTAACTTTTCCATATGAAGTTTTGGACGTCATATTTTTAATCTCCTAACTAAGAAAAATGTCGCCATCTCGGGCACCCCTATAATGCTTCATGTAAAAGATACCCCATTGCTCTATAAAAATCACATAGAAAAATAAGAGTATTTGACATGTAACCACTCACAAAAATATTAAAACTAATTATTAATTTTAAGTTTTCTATATAAAGATTTGAAAGTCGTCATTTTAATCTTCTAACTAAGAAAAGTGTCGCAATCCCGGGCACCCCTATAATTTCATGTAGAAGATACTCCATAGGACATCTTTTCTTTGGCTCAGATTCTATTCTTTATGTTTGCTATAAAGAAAATAACAAATGGAGAAGACGACCATTTTTTTAAGCTAACCCGCCCCAAAACTTCAGGGTGTTGCAGACACTCCCTCTAACTAATTTAATCCAATGAACATCTCATCTTTGAGTATTTTACAAATAACTATCATGGACTTTTTTATTCCACTAAAACATTATGAAAATTTATTACTTAAACCCTTAAGGTAATACCAGTAAGTCTAACGTGTCACGTATCAAGCGCATGAGTTAACCTGCAAAAACTTTAGGGCCCGTTTGGTTGGTTTCCTAAAATCAAAGAAAAGGAAATCGGTACAAGGAAATCAATAAAATAATATTTTTATCCATTTCCATCCCTAAAACTCACCCACAACATCTAATAAAATATTATTTTTATCCTCCAACTCATCTCATTTCATCTCTTTTCTTACCTTTAAAAATAAACCAACCTCCAACTCATCTCATTTCATCTCTTTTCTTACCTTTAAAAATAAACCAAACACAAGAAATGTGTCACGTCATCCAACTCATCACATCTCATCTTATCTCATGTTTAAAAATCACACACCATCCAATAATATTGTGACAACTCATCTCATCTCATTAACCCTTCCTTTCCATCCATTTCCTCAAAAAAAAAAACAAGAAATTGATTTCCTTAAGTATGTGTTACATCATCCAATAATATACCTCCAACTCATCACATCTCATCTATTTTCTTATTTTAAAAAATAAACCAAACACAAACAACCTCAAAACATCATCCAATAATATATCTCCAATTCATTTCCTTATTTTTTTAACCAACCAAACAACATCAAAACAAATTTTTTTTTAAATCACTCACATCATCCAATAATAAGGTGACAATTCATCTCATCTCATCTCCTATTCTATAATTTTCTTCTTTTTTAAACCAACCAAACAACCTCAAAACAATTAATATAGGAAATATGTTTCCTATTCTTTGATTTCCCAACTTATTTTGCGAAACGAACAGCCCCTTAGTCAAGCATCTAGATGTCATCACCAATACACATGGGACCACTATGTGTGGTCTTTATTGAAGGGCATTTTGGTAATTTTGTACATCAAATAGTGCATTGTGCTCCATCATTATCCTTTAGTCTGTGTGGGCCTACATTGCATTAGTAAAGAGTGCTCCATAGAAAATCATATAGAAAGAAAGAAGAAATTGACGTGTAACCACCCTGAAAATACTAAAAATGTTATTGATTATAAATCTCCTATTTGAAGTTTTTATTAGGACATATGTCGTCTTTTAACCTTCTTATTAAGACACGTGTCGCCCTCTTAGTTCCAATGAAGTTTTATGTTGAAAACCCTCTACAGGATTTATTTTCCTTAGTTCACATTATAATATTTTCTGTAAAGGAAATAACAAATATTGAAGATGACCATCTCTTTAGAGGAGGCAGTTACAAAAAATCCTTTTGAACTTTTAAGGGTGTTGCAGAGAACCCTTAAAGTATTTTAATCTAAGAAAATCTCCTGAACTTTGAACAATTTGCAGATAATTTATATGGATTTTTTAATGCTACTAAACCTCACAGAACTTTCTCACTTAATCCTAGTAAAATTACACTACTAGGTCTAACATGTGATATCCATGCCAATCACAAGACAAAAAGGTCATAACATCCCTTATCCTCAAAAAAAAACTACCCACTTATCTTTTTTTCTAATATATATATATTTGCAAAAGTTTCCCATATTTTAATTACTTTGTGCTATTAAAATAATGATTCATCAAGTTAATTTAATTTAATAATTAAAGTCTAAAGTTGAAGGGATATTTTTAGACTTTTATTTAATAGTTAAATTCTAAAGTTGAAAGGATATTTTTTTTACTTATTATAACAGGCAATAACACCAACATGGAAGTTCAATATAAAACATTAAGCGGGCAAGGGATTTAAAGGAAATAAAAATGTAATTAATATAAAGTTTGTGGGGGTGGAGGGAAAGATATCTGAAATTAAACTTTTAGAGATATACGCTTGTTTTTTTCTTTTTTAGGCTCTTACAAAGTGTAATTAATATAAAGACTCCCGAGGTTCAGAAATGAATTATGCACAGAAATTAATGCAAATAAGGGGGTCTCATGAGCTATTCATTTCTCTCTATCTCTCTCCTCTCTTATAGAATACCCATGTGCACTCTATAGAAAAACCGTATACAATATAGTAACATAACACGAGCTCTGCGATTGATTTCCTAGAAATAGAAAAAGAAAAGTTGATTATGGCGAAGGAAACCAAAACCGATGGGCTTGTGGGTCCTAACTTTGTAGTTTTTGCCTATTTTAAAAAAAAATCCATTTAAGATTCAGAGTATGTTTGAGAAGGTTTATTTTTTGAAGCTTATAAGTTCTGCTAACTTTTATAGTAGCTTTTAGTTTTTATGATAAAAAATATTATAATAATTATTTGGGTAGTATAGTAATTTGTTTGGTCAAACTTAACTTATTTAGGTGAGCTTATAAATTAGTTTTTTAAAAGCTGAGGTATACCTGCTTTTTAAAATATGACTTATAAACTAACTTATTTTATATTTTACCAAACATGTAGAAATAAAAAAGCTACCTTAAAAGCTATTTTGACCAAAATAAGCCGCTCCAAACACCTTTTAGTACTCTTCACCATTTTTGTCGGTCCCAGCTCACTATTTTCACTTCTTTTTTCTTTGTCAACCAAAAAACAGTAAAAATTGAAAACATTTTCTATAATGGATATTTTCCAATTTTGTGTGTAATCAAACAACCCCTAAAGTTACAACTATTAATTATCACTTGACAGCTATTGGTGGCTTTAACTATTAAACTTCCATAATGACAACAAATAAAAATTGTATTTTATAAAAAGAAAATCGCAAATCATAACCTTTTTTATTGTATCATCTCAAATCCTACTCTATTTTATATGATATAATCTTTATTAAAAAAAAATCATTCAAAGCCGTTACATACCCCCACCCACATATATTAAAAAAATCATTCAAAGCCGTTACATACCCCCACCCCACAACTCTATTTTATATGATATAACCTTCACATTTACACATATTACTTTCATTCACTATCACGTAGCGCCCCCACCCCCCACGCCACCCACCAAAAAAAAAAAAAACCTCCACCACAAAAAAAAAAAAAAACACCCACACCACAATTTGTCCATGAACTACTAGTATTAAATTGAACAAATTTTCAAAACAGTCTCAAATCAGTTTTTATTTTTCAAAACCAACCCACTTTTTTTTTACCAAAATCGATCTACTTTTTGCCACGTCAGCTTAATCCCATTCCTAAACAGTTGGGGTTGGCAACCCCGACTGTTTAGGAGGTTGTTAAACACCAATTAGAAGCATTAAACCCGATTTTTATGTCCTAAATAGCCGGGGTTGGCAACCCCGACTAATTAGGAAATGAGATTAAGCTGACGTGGCAAAAAGTGGGTCGATTTTGGTAAAAAAAATTAGGTCGGTTTTGAAAATTAAAAACCGGTTTGAGGTTGTTTTGAAAATTTATTAGTATTAAATTCAATTTTCATAACCTCCATAGACCATAGTAGCACTTGTTAATTTCATTCACTCTCATTAACTCTTTTAAATATCAAGTCATAAATCCTTATGTTATATATAGGATTTTCCTAACAGGTGTCTGCATTAGATGCAACAAATACTCAATCATTCCTAAAAATGAAAATTTCCCTAATGTCCCAAAATATGTGACCAACAAGGGGACATGTGAGGTGTCTCCCTCCTATTGCATAATGAGTTTGCCATCATTAATGACGGCCAGCTCATTATGCAATAGGAGATTAGGAGGGGGACACTTTATCTATTTCTTTGTTGGTCTCATATTTTGGGTGATTTGTCGAAAAATTTGATGTAAAAGAAATAATGAAAGAAAAATTAATTTGTATTCTCTCAAAATCGATTACAATTTGAATTCCGATTACAAAAGAGAG